TGTTCGACCTACTCCGCTAGGAGAGCATTATAAATGTTGGCCACTGTGCAGTGGAAGTCCGTACAAATTCTGTGTTCTTTAAATTAGTCAGTGTCCTCTTTTTTCAGCACTGTATCAAATTTGAACGTTGTTCCATTCTGTTCAGCCTGAAACTTACTCGCTCCTGGACTCTTGTGTTGCTCCCACGATCCCCTGTTGACAGATCAGTTACTTCAGGTTGTTGTTGGCGTTCTTAGTTATGTTTCTACTTTGCCCTTGATGATATTTGGTCTAGTGGATTTGAGTTTATCCTCAACGAGAGGAAATGCTATTCCAGACAGGGTTATCATCAACCATTCTGAACTCTTCAAGCTTGATTTGAAGGCTTCTATTTCCACAAGTGTTCATCGCGTTTCTCTACTCAGACCAAACGTTCACTCACATTCAACATTTCTCTTAGATTAAAGGTACCCCAAGCCGAAACCTCTAGTCCAGAAATATTGCTATTCTCAAACTCTGGTTGAACATAGTCCGCTTAGTGTTTCAAACTGCCTCCTATCTACCTGCGGACAACTTCACTGACACAGTAAACACTATTTTCGACCCATGATGTCTCCCTGAGGCTCTGAGAGAACGTATTCGTTTGACGCACAACTAAACGAAAAAACAAGCATGAAGTCAGTTTTGCAAGGTATTCATCTCAACAGTGAACAATAAACAACAGCAAGCTTCATAACACTCATACTGATGTATCAGACTCGGAGATCAGCCGCTCAGCCGCAGACATACGGTCGGTTTCATTTCATCAGCCAATTCCAAGATAGATTATTTCTCCGCAAGACAGGTTTTCAAGCTTCTCCAGACGTCCAAAACCAGGTCTGCAGTTGGTCTCCTCCAGTATGGCGCTGAACTATTAACTACGTTGATCTAGCTAGGAAATTTGTCGATTTTCGCTCCATTCCCAACCCGTTATATTCCTCCTCGACGCATTCGTCTCCAGTGCTGATCAAAAGTTTTCGACCTGTTCTTGTTTATTTGTCAGGGTGACGAACTTGTCGAATGTGCCATGATTGCGTATCCACATTTTTTTCTGTCTGTTCCCCATGATCCTTTCCAGTTTGCATACAATAATAGACAAGTCAAACAGTGCCTTTTGTCGTCCACTTCATCACTGTTGGTGGTTCCCTCTGCAAAATTCCTTCTTTGCAGCAGTATTGATGATCTTTTCTGCGTCTGACTCGTTCTTCAGTCGTCTCCTCGCAACAGATTTTGGTTGATCAGTGTTTACATCTTCACTCTTCGTCAAATTCTAGAACACAGCCACCGTTTCTATCTTCTTCGATCTGAAAGCGAAGTTGGACTCAGTCGACCGCTTTAAACTCTGGTGTTGCCTCGCTCTAAAGGATGTGCCCGAGAAGTTTATTCCAATATTCCAATCCGGTCATACTAATAGCCGAAGATGATTCCGACGGCATTTTTAACCAGAGTTCACAAAGGTAAGTGATATTCGACAGGGTTGCCCACTCTCTCCGTTTCTATTCAATTTTATCCTAGATTTAATTCTTGAAAAAGCCCTATCCTCTTGCAAAGATAGCGGTATCGATTTACTTCCGGGTGGCAGATTGTCTGATCTAGAGTATGCATATGACATTGTGCTACTAAGTGAAGATCCAGGTAAGTTGCAAGCTTTTCTGGAGAGTTTGAGTGCTAATGTTCGGTATGCGTTTTGTGCCTTCAAAGTGTAAAATGTTGCTACAGTATTGGGTTAGTCCAGCCTCCAACCTCACTCTGACTGAGGAAGTAGACAAACTGTGCTATCTAGGCAGCCATATCTCACCTGACGGAAGCGTCACAGATGAAGTGTCAGCGCGCATATAGAAGGCTCGGCTGGCATTTGCCAACTTGAGACATCTGTGGCGCCGTCGCGACATCCGGCCGTCTGTGAAGGGCCGAGTACATGCTGCAGCAGTTCGACCAGTGCTGCTATGCGATGCAGAGACTTGGCCACTACGGGAACAGGATAAAAGCAGATTGTCAATGTTCGAACATCGTTGTCTACGTCGCATTGTACGAGCCTGCTGGGACAACCGGACANTCTGAAGTTAGGCATAGACTTCTAGTTATTCGCGGACCTCCACTGGAGCAAGTAGTCGACCTCCACAGATTATGCTGGTTGGGGCACGTGTTACGCATGTCAACAGATAGGATGCCA